GCCTTAACCACTGCAAAAGTTCTAATAAGTTGTCACATTTAACTAACATGGGTCTTGAATTTAAACTATTTGGGCTCAGGGGTAAGAGAGGAGCTTAACTGATGTTCCTTTTTGGAACAATAATACCTGTAGTGTCTCAACATTTTAATAAATCAGTGATTCTTTTTTTCATTTTGAGGGTCCATTTCAACCATTGGAAATTTGCTTTAATAATATGAAGTTAAATAAGGATGCCTTTGAAAATCAAGTACAATATTAATTATCTGTTGTACCAACTCAACTCTTGTCTGTAGTGATCCTAAAATCACATGTAACCTGTGCTGTGCTATTCAAGGAATCCAAAGGCAGGAACATTTTTATAGCAGAGAAGAAGTTAAGCAATTTATTGGACTATCATAAAGAGAACTAAATAAAATTTAATTGGATAACTTATTTCCAAGTTAATTAGATTGTAGGCTGTTGTGTACAGAGCCATTGCCTGATATGATGTGTGACAATAGCAGCTTTAAAAATTATTCTCTTGATTACTCATAATAGCAATGCCTGTGGCTGAAGCTGTTATAAGGAAATATTACTATAATTCATTTTCCTTTCCTTACAGTGTGTTATAATTTAAAATTCTATAATTTATCTCATTAGCTATTGTCCATGACCATTTGTATCTACTTGGTATTTGATAATCTGGTGACAGATTTCTAGAGTTAGCACCACCAATCAAAGCCAGCCATCCTCCTGATCTCTGGCCTCCTGAGTAGCTAGGATTACAGGCATGAGCCACCAGCACCCAGTGATTGGTTATTTTTGAGAGAGGGCCTTGCTGTATGCCCAGACTGGTTTGAATCACAATCCTGCTGTTTATGCTTCCTCACATAGCTGGGATGATGCACTCACCACTGTACCCAGCTATTGGTTGAGATGGAGTCTTGTGAATTTTTTGCCCAGGCTGGCCTCAAACTGCAGTCTGCCTGTCTCCACCTTCCAAGAAGCTAAGATTACAGCTGGATTAGCTCTTTCTGTTCTGATAGAAAAGTCTAATAACAGAAGCACCGAACTTCCATTGTGCTGACACTCCCTGAAATGCTGATCGTTTTCTTGCCATTTTGCTCAGATTTAGATATATGAAATATGTGAACCTCTCTGTGCAAATTAAATTTGAATGTTGTCTTCTTCACAATTCTAGCTGTCACTTCTAAAAATTATCATTTTGTCTGATTTGAGAAAGAGATTTAAGGCCACAGATATACAGCTGAGTTTCCCTTGGTCCTCAGCAGCTGTTCAGATAAGAACATGAATCTGAAGGAGGTGCATTAGAGAATTCTTGTCTGTCCCAAGGCCTATTGGAATTGAACATGGGGTGTGTTTCTTTTGAGCAGCTCACCCTAGTAGGTGGAAATACCTCTAAAGGAAGGATGTGGGAAGGTCTCTGGGCAAGCAGACAGTTGTGCCATGTTGTACCAGCATGGCTAAGCCCAGAGGATGGAGTGACAAAAATCCATGTCTGTAGGGTCACCCAGTCAACTTGACCTGGCTCTACTGAATGTCCCCCACCAATGCCAATGCCTTGGGTTGGGGGGGGTGTGCATTCACCTCCATTTCAACTCTGGTTCCTTCCAAAGCTGCAGGACATTTGTAGGGATGGCCTTAGGGAATGAGTACCAATAAGCATAACAGGAAATGTTACTTACAAAAAGTAAGATGGCATATTATAAAAGGACTTTCTGTGATTTATAGGGATCCTGAGAGGTCATGGTCCTGCTGCCTGACCTCTGACTGAATGGTAATCACAATAAGTGATTTTCCCCACATCAGTGACACCTCGAAATCTTCAGACAAGAGGGACAATTTTCGTTATCTGTAAATTCTTCCCTATTTTTTTTTTCTAATACATTCTTAAAAACGATTGTGACAGGGCTAGGAGTATAGCTCTGTGATGTAGTGTTTACCTAGCATACACAAGGCCCAGAATTCCATCCCCCAGAACCATAAAACAGAAATGTCTGAAGTTTCTCTCCCCTTTCATATTTTCTTTATGGAACTTACCACACTCCATAATTATCGTTGATTTATGTACTTAAATACTGTGTGCTTCTATCCACTGTAGTAAAATCTTATAAAAATTATTGTGACAAAGGTACTGCATATATGCTGCTTTTTCATCTTATATGCAGTATGTGCTATAAAAACTAAATTACCACACACACACTGGAATAAATTGTCACTGACTTGTATAAGTAAATGAGTGGTACAACCAAATTAATTTAATGTAGGTTCTTGTGAATTTTATCCTCATCTTAGAGAAGGGATTTCCTGATAATCCTGCTCTAGAGAATAATGATTCCTTTGGAACCCTGTAGTCATCACTTCTTCACACTAAATAATTTCAGGTTTTTTTCCCCTGGGTTCTGGTTTTCAGTACTTTAATTTTTTTAAGTCTTCTCATACCTATTTGGCTTGTTTTCCCCAATCATGCAATGCCTAGTTTGAAGTACAGCCCTCTTCCCTCACCTTCAAGACATGCCATACTCCTACCGTTTCCTATTCATCTAATAATACTACCTGGTAATTTGTCTTTGTGGTCTCACATGACCTGTGGATTCTTTTCTGTCACAATTAAGCAGATCATTCTCCAGTTGCTCTTTATGAAGTTTACTTTTCCTCTTGTCCATATGCCATTTTTGTAGACATGTTATTTGGTTTGTTTCCCAGTGAAATAGACTTGACGAAATAGATGAAGAAAAGTCATTACTTTCTTTGTGATTGAAAGACAGTTGAATTTTTCAGTGAGGTAGTACTCATTCTTCAGGCTGTTGTATCAGAGCATTGACACCTAGGAGAGGCAATATCTTGTAGTAAGATAAGTCAGATGTGGAATTGGGGGAGGGTTCGAGTTATAGCACTCCATCTGTTAGCTGTAACTTGGCTACTAACTTCTCTTAGCTTCAGTTTCCTTACGTGTTAAGTAGGAATAATGATACCAGTGTGATAGTAGTGAGGACTGTGTGAGGTCATGTATGTGAAGATTTAAGGTGCCAGTGTAACATAGTGAGTTTTGAAGACATGGTTATTTTGGTTAAGATTGGGTAGTAAGTATTTGAGGATCTTCATCTGGTTGAAAGTCTGTGTTAGTGGTGTAAGATAAGAGATATACTTATAATAATTTTGTATAAAATGTGTAATCAGCTGCTGCACAGAGATAGTTCTATGGAAAGCAGAATGAGGAGGATGGGAGAATGAATCTGCAGTCCCTGTGTTGTGACCACTGGCATGTCAGATCCATTGATCTATGAAAGAAAAATGGAAATTAGAGGAAAGAAGTGTTGTGTCTCTGCTCCAGCAAGTCAGGTTGTGCTGGTTCCCAAACTGGTTTTCATGACTTGAGCTCTAGTTAGGAATATTTTGTTAAGGAGCTCAGGGATAAAAGAACAGCAATATCTTTGAAACTGAAAATGAGGACTGGGGATGTAGCTCAGTGGTAGTACGTATACATGCTATGCTTGAGGTCACAGTTTAATCCCCAGCACTACAAATAAATCAAGTAAATAAATATTAAGCATGGTTTTGGTGCTTACAGAACCTCTGTACTAACCTGCAATTATAGAGCTTGAGGATACCAGAGACATTTTTTTTTTTTAATATAGTGGTCTGCCCTGTCTTTAGCAGTGATTCTGACTTGCTGTGAATTAACAGTTTCCTCCTTTGGTGTCTATCCTTTATATAGGATAATCTCAGGTAGAGTCCCAGAGCTTAGAAGTGCTTCAAAAGCCCCCATACTTGAGTTTTGGTCTCCACAGCTAACAAACACATGGACCTCTTTTGTGGGGTATCTGTGACCTTCATCCTACCCTGTAGCTGCTTGACCTCATGGAAGGAAATGCAAAATGAATTCTCTTCTGTCTTGCATTTTGCTTTGAAGTTGAAACCAGGATTAGCTGACCCTGAAGGCTATTTTAAAAACTGTCTTCCTTTATCTTGATGTTTGTCAGAAAAATGTTGTGAAAATTCTGTACCTATCTGTCATTCATGTTAAAGATCTGCCATTCCTACTTCTGATCTCTGAAACCCCCTGAGACCTCTAAATTAGCACTCTATCTGTCTAGACCAGAATGAACAAATCCCTTGCTGTTTCTCTATCACAGCCTTACATCTCTTTCTTCCTTTCTTGGCTGACCTTACTTAGATGGCACTTTTGAGTTTGGGTTTTGTGTTTTTTTTAATATAAGAAGCTTCTAACATGCATGTTTGAATTTCAACCTACCTTTTTAAAGAAAATGATGACCACAAACTCCTCGTGAGGCTGCCACAGGAATTCTGCTTCCCCAACTCCAGAGAGCTTTCTGCTTGCCTTCCCTAGCCTGTGATTCTGAAGATGGCTTAAAACAGCATTTACTTAATACCTGGGTTGTAGCGTGTGAAGCACTGTGGCATCATCATCTCCTTTAATCCTCACAACACTTTGACTCATGAGAAAAGTAGGAGGCCTTTGGCCATTGGAGAGTTCCTAGGTCATACAGCTGGGGATCTCACATTCAATGTGGATTTGCCTTTGAAATGCTGCCTGTTGGGAAAGAGAGAAGGGCCATCTGGTCTACCTTCCCACCAACTCCTTGAGCCATAAAGAATTACTACTGGGTAATTTGAGGATCCAGATAACCAGCACTTCAATAAGGAATGAGGGTTACTGTGCCCCCAAGGCAATTTCCCTAACTAGCAGAAATACAATCATACAGAGCTAAGTTAGGATTTATGGCACCAAATTCATGAGATAATGCATGTTATGATACTACTCTAGTCCTTTATTTGTTCTCTGGCCTGGACATCTAACTATTTTTCAATACAAGTGCTCATTTCATAATATACTATTTAACATTATTATACTTTGAAAACCAACACTCTCAAAACTGTCAACTCACTTCATTGTGCTGGGACAAGTATGTGTTATCTTCGTTTGCTTACCAGAAGGGCAGAAGCTTACGCACCGTCTTCCCTTTACTTCCTGACAGCGCCCCATCATCTCCATCTGCTGGGGCCACCGGGACTCACGGTTGTTGATGGCGTCAGGACCAGCCCTGTATGTGGTTCGTGTGGAACATCGGGTGTCCAGCCTGCAGCTGTTGTGCCAACAGGCCATTGCCAGCACCCTGAGAGAAGACAAGGATGTCAGCAAGCTGACCTTGCCCCCCCGCCTCTGCTCCTACCTCTCTACTGCCTTTATCCCTACCATCAAGGTAAAGCCTTTTGCCCTCTTTCTGGCCTGTTTTCTTTTCACCTGTCTGCCACATAGACAGGAATGGTACCACAGAAAGTGCACAGGGGTTTGTCTGCTTCTCTGTGAGAGTGCCTGTTAGTGGCCACTTATGTCTCCTATTAGTGTTTGAGTAAGATTTGCCTTGTGTGGTGGGCCTTACCTTTCCAGGCTGTTCCCAGATTGATTCCTACGTCATCCTGATGATTTAAAGTGTGAGCATTTATTTAGTGCTTCTTATGTACTAAACATTGCACCAAGTTCTTAGAAACCTGTTTTGTTTGTTCAAGCCCAACTTCCTGGCAGATGCCAACATTACTCCCGCCTGGCAGAGCAGGAAACAAGTTCATAGGAATAGAGTACCTTGTTCTGTAGCTAGTTAGGAGACTAGTCAGCACTGGACTCAGTCCAGTACTGGACTTGCTCTCCTCCCCAGTGTGCTGAGGGGTGGCCTACACACAACACAGCTGCCAGCCATCTTTTATACTGACTACTTTTCCAGAAACTGCCTGTTTTTAATGGCAGCCTTTGACCATGCCAGTTGCTGCTTGCATGTGAGTTTTCTCTAACCTCGGACCTTTCTGTACCTTAGTTCCTTTTCTGTTTCTGTCTCTACTTCTAAGTATCAGTTACTTTTTTCCTGATACATCACAGTTTTAGAGTCTCTTGTGGTTTTTTTTTCCCTAAGTTGTCTGACGATATTGATTCCACACCAGCAGTTCTCAACCCTGGTATATTGTATTAGAAAAAAACAGATGCCCAGTCCACCCCCCAGAAATTTCAGTTTAATTGCCTGAAGTAGCTTAGGTGTTGTTTAAAAGCTTCCAGGAGATCCGTGTATGTGTCACATAGGTATCCTCTGCTGAGCTATCAGCCTGCACACTTGTCAGAATGATAGTGACTTTGCAGCCACCCTGCCCCATGCCTGCTCTGTGTCTCTCTGGAGTCCCAGCTTTGCCTTTTCTGCCCATGTTCTGCCTCTAGCCCCCAATTCCAGACCCCAACAACATGCGAGACTTTGTCAGCTACCCCTCGGCAGGCAATGAGCGGCTGCACTGTACCATGAAACGCACTGAGGACGACCCAGAGGTGGGCGGCCCATGCTACACACTTTACCTAGAGTACCTGGGTGGGCTGGTGCCCATCCTCAAGGGGAGACGCATCAGCAAACTGCGGCCAGAGTTTGTCATCATGGACCCAAGGACAGACAGCAAATCAGGTAGGCCTCTTGTTGGAAGGACTGAGACCCTATTCCTGTGGGCTTGTGGAATATTATTCCTTAAAATTCATGCAAAGAGAATGCCTGTTTATGATATGTGAGCTTATGGAATATCCCAGGAGATACATTTCCAAAATCCCATTTTAAGTGATCAGTTCTTCAGATGTCCTTATTGACAGGTTTTTAACAATATTCCATAAGGCATCAAATAGTTGGGGTTGCTGATAGAGGAAACCCCAGCTCCCAACCAAGGGTAAGCCAGCGTAGACCTTCTAGCACAAGAGTTCTTAATACTCACCAATCAAGTTTTGAGTACCTTAATTTTGAACTGAGTTGAAAATAATAATGAAGTACATCCCTGCCTCCCCAAAGTGGATGATGGAATTAAGGGTTTTTAAACTTTCAACCTACTCCTCAGCCTTCTGCCTGTCTCTTACTAATCCAGTATTACTTGGTTTTCAGCTGATTTCTAGTGAAAATTTCCTGCTCATCCATAAAAGTTTAACGTGATGAATCACTGTCCTACAGACTCTCTCCTGCGATTCTCATTACTCAGATATGTTAAAGGTGCCACTGTTACGGGATCCTATTCCGTGAGGCTCCCATGGAAAAGGACTTTGGGTTTTTCATGCCACTGATTGCTTGCCCTATGTCCATGCACTATCAATACCTGCTGCTCAAACATTCTGAAGTCTTGCCCATCACCTATCCCAGAATGAACAGCATGGCTGTGGTGCTCACCACCCATCATGGGCTGCTGCTGTCCTAATCAGCACACTGGAGTCATTGTGCTTCAGATTTTGCCTGCCCCACTGAATCCTGAGGTCATAGAGGGAGGAAATTCAATCATCTTTGTACCCCCAGTGCTTTACAACCAACAACATTGGTTAAATTGGATTTGTTTTCATTAGCTTATACTCTCTCCACTTCCTTTTCCCAGTGCACTCTCCCACCCATCAGACTGGCCTCTGTCCCTCAGTGTGTCCCTGAGATGGCCATAACCTGCATGGCCAGAATCTTCCTATTTCACAATGCAGTGGGCTTGCTCACCCTCAGCCTCATTGCCCACACCAGCATTCTGTGTAGCTTCTCCACCTCTGTCTGCTACACATTAGCGCTCAGCCCCTGCAGCAGCATTCTAATACCAGGATTACTATTCAAAATCAAAAGCAGAAAACCTCTAAATACTGAATATTCATTTTTTTTCTGGTCTTTTTTGTGGTGCTGAGCTGTGTTTGTGTTTTAATCATGTGGTAGACTTGCACCAAAAGCAGAGAGAACAGGTAGGACTGGGGACTGATGGGGAAGAGGGCAGCACAAAAAGAGAGCAGCGGATGTTGCCTTCTTCTAAGGAAAACATGGTTTTGGGGAATGGGAGAGGCAAAACCATTGCTGGCTGGAGGTGGCTGGGGAGAGGGGTATGTGGGGCAGGTCTCCAGCACAGCCTAGAACACAGGTCTACTGCACGTTAGTGTCTCTAAGAGTCCTCCCTTGGATATGGGTGTAAAACTGAAGCTGAGATGAAATTTAAGATCACTCAGTACTACTTAGTGATAAAGAAGAATGAAATTATGTTTACAGGTAAATGGATGGAATTGGACATCATGTTAAATGTAGTAAGCCAGGTTTCAGAAAGACAAAGGCTGCATGTTTTCTCTCATTTGTGGAAGATAGATCCAAAAGATAACGGTATACACAAAAACAAACATGATCACATACACATTTATATAGAGAACATGTTTGTAATAGTGGAACTACTCTATGGAACTCTGGGGAGAAGGGAAAGGAAAAGAGAATGATAAGAGAGTCAACAATATTGAAATCCATTGCATCTGTGTAGGAAGAGGACATAACAATATGTACTGAAAGCTTTTGAAAAATAGGGGGTAAGAGGGAAAGGTAAGGGAGAGTAATAGAGGGTGTTAAACTGAGAAAAATACAGTATATGCACAACTAAGATACATGAGAAACCACTTTGAACACTGACTTTGGAATTAAAACTGGAGGACAGACTATAAATAGGTCCTGTGAGGGGAGATGAGTACTTGGGGGAGGAAGGGGTGAATGAAGGCAATAAAAGAGGATAAATGTGGTCAGTGTACTTTATATACTTATGTGAAATAGAACAATGAAACCTTTTGCAAACATTTTAAGTAGGGGGAAGGAGAATGAGGGAGAGTGGTGGTGAGGATGAACCTAACCAATGTACGATGTAAGCATATTCAGAAATGACACAATGAATCTCCCCTGTACAGCTAATGTTTGCTAATAAAAATGTTCTGAGAAAAAAAAGATCACTTGGGTGAAGAGCTTATGTATTTCCCCATCTGTTAAAATTCCTGCTAAAGAGAGGGCTAGATGGATGCCTTGGGTACCAAAGCTGCAGCCTCCCAAGGCCAGACTTGCTTGAAGCCTGACCCGCCCACCCAGAATGTCTGGTTTTTCCTAATGTTCACACTTGCCAGATCACAACACATACAAACTGACTCAATTGCTAATAATCCTTTGGAAAATTACATATTTTATTTTCATAATTTTTATAATTAAAAGAACTAAATGTTGAAAAGCAAAGCAAATCCACAAACATTCAATCAGTGCCTATATTATATGTATTTTAGTCTCCTCGGATCATTAAGCAGTATCAGGGTATCTCTACTTTTAAGGAGTTTGTAGCCCTGCTGGAGGACAAGGCAACCTAAGCAATTGAAAAGTTCAGTAAAAAAGTCTAGACTTAAACACTCATGACAGATATAGAAGCTGTGTCACAAGCCACAATATAACTAGTTGCCAACTAAATGGTATAACTAGCTTCAGAGGAAGAAATGATGCCTAACTTTGAAGAGCCAAGAATTTCTCACCATGAGAAGCTGATCAACTCTTTCCAGGCCCCACATCAGTCTTTTTCATTAGGTCTGCGGCAAGTTCTAGCAATCTGCAACTTGGTGGGATCCCCAGGTGATTGTTAGACACTGAAGTCCATGATCCACTGCTGTGAATGTTCTCCAGGTGACTTGACAAATATGTTCCTCAAAATTACCAGAGTATGTTTTTATACTAGGTGGTATGAGACCCAGTAAATTTTTTTTTTTTTCGTAAAAATCCACAAAATTTCAAAACGCAGTCTTTAGTCATAACTTGCTATGGCCCAGTTGTGTGTTCTCCACTCCTAACTCATATGTTGAATGAAAAAGCCACATCCCAGCCCTTTTGGTTTTTCATTTTGTTTTTGAGATAGAGTCTCACTGTCTCTGCCAGTTTGGCCTTCCAACCTGTGATCCTCTTGCCTCCATCTCCCAAGTAGCTGGGATTACAGCTGTGTACCACCACAGCCAGCTCATATTTCAGTCTTAACCTCTAATATTACTGTATTTGGAGATATGGCTTTTTTTTCCATTGCTGGGGATCAAACCCAGGACCTTGTTCATGCTAGGCAAATACTCTACCCCTGAGCTACATTTCTTAGTTAAGGTTAAATGAGGTTATAAAGGTGGAGTCCTAATCTGATAGGATTGTTGCCCTTATCAAAAGAGGACCAAGCATAGTGGGGAAGTCCTGTAATTTCAATTACTTAAAAGGCCCTGGGCAAAAGCACAAGCACCTATCTAAATAATAAACCAAGGCTAAAAAGGGGGGGATGTGTGGCTCAAGTGGTAGAGTACTTGTCTGGCAAACATAAGGCCTTGAGTTCAAACCCCAATATTGAAAAGAAAAAGAAAAGAGAGAGAGGGGTCCGTCCACACACAGGTACCAAGAAAAGGACATGAGCACATCGAGAATTCTGGCAGCTATCTGCAGGCCTGGAAGAACCTTCCCTAGGAAGTAGCTGGGATGGCACCTTAACCTTGGGACTTCTCAGCCTCTATGATTGTGTGAACCAATTCCTAGTAAGAAGTCTCTTAGATAGGTAGACAGACAGGCAGGCAGACAGACCTAGATATCATATCGGTTTTGTTTCTCTGAAGAACCCTGATTAATAGAGGTTTTGGTACTGGGAAGTGGGTGCTACTGTAACAAATACCTACCAGGTGAAAGATACTTTGGAACTGGGTAGTGGGGAGAGGCTGGAAGAGTAGCAATGTGGGCATTAAGGGCAATTCTGATTGGATCTTAGGTGAAAATGAGCACACTACTGGATTTGCCTGAACTGTGTTCCAAGTGTATGTGGAATTGGATATTTAACTGAGGCTGTTTATAAATTCTGTTGACAGAATAGCTTGGTTCCTTCTGAAAAAGAAAGAGATGTATTGAAGGAGTTGTTCAACTAAAAGGATCTAAAATGTGAAGACTTTGAAAATTACCAGCTTTTTCATATTTCAAGAAACAAGAAAACACATTCTTAAGAGAATGTCAATGATGTGGCTAGACTATAAATTGATAAAGAGTTTTGTGAGATTATTCAAGAAAGAACACTGCCAATTTGAACTGAAGAAAATGGAAACAGAAGGCTATTGGATTTCTTGGATTCAGTAGGTCAGGATGATAGAGATATTTGCTAGCTTGCTCTGTTCTTCAAGAAGAGATAAAAATGTCCCCAGAGATGATTGAGAGATCAGCAGGGCCACCTCCCTGATTTCAACAAGCCAGATGTCCTCTACCTGGAGCCTTAGGGCAGGACTGTTTGGCAGAGAGATGGGGCAAGGATTCCTGCCTGGAGCCAGGAGGATTATACTGATATTCCAGTGGTCTTAGAATGCAGAATATTCAACGAAAGAGGATTATTTTCAAGCCTTAAGATTTATGAAATTTGCCTTGCTGAGCTTTGGACTTGCTTGGGACCTATCATCCATTTCTTCCAGCTTCTCCTTTTGGAATGGAAATGTCTGTTCTATGCCTGTCCTCTCATTCTATATTAATAGTACATAACTTGTCTGGTTCACAAATTCATAGCTGGAGAGCAGTCATACCTCAAGTCTCACCTATATCTGATTTAGATGAGACTCTGGACTTTAAAGTTGATGTTGGAATGAGTTAAGACTTTAACTTGGTTTGTTGGGATGGAATGAATGTATTCTTCATGGGAGAGAGACATAAATTTTGGAGGAGCCAAGGGCAGAATGCTATGGGCCAAATTGTGTGTTGAAGTGTGACTATATTTGGAGATAAGGCCTTTTGGGGATAATTAAGGTTTAATTGGGTCATATGAATGTGATATTAATCGGATAGGATTGGTAGCCTTAAAGGAAGAGAGATGTCTCCCTCCATGCTCATGCTCTAGAGAAAGGTCGTGTGAGCACAGCAAGAAGGCAGTCATCTGCAAATCAGGAAAGAATCTCACCAGAGTCCTACCTTGCTGGTACCCTAATCTGGGACCTTCAGCATCTAAAACTGTAAGAAAGTAAATTTCTGTTATTTAGGCCACTCAGTCTATGGTATTTTGCTACTGCAGTCAGCAGACTCAAATAAGGCTTATATTTAAAAGCCATTACAATAGTTTCTGAAAAAAAATTCTCTTGGTAGGACTGGGGGTTGAACTCAGGGCTTCACACTTGCAAAGCAAGTACTCTACTGCTTGAACTAAGACTCCAGGCCATTTTGCTTTGGTTATTTTGGAGATGGGGGTCTCACAAACTATTTACCCAGGCTGGCCTCTTGATTTTAGCCTCCCAGGTAGCTAGGATTACAGGTATGAGCCACCGGTGCCCAGCCTGAAGATTTTTAATAATTGTATAAGCACATCTAATTCAGGTTAAATATTTCGAAAGCCTTCAACCTAGATGAAATTAATGTATTCTTGAAAATGGGCAAAATTGGAATGTGAAGCCCATACATTAGAGTTGTTTTTGGTTCCCAAAGATCAATCCAGTTTTCATTTTTCTACACTTTGGATGTTTGTTCCAGAACTCTTTGACAAATTGATGCTACAAAATCTCCAGAAGTGTTAAGTACAGCCCACTATCACCCTGCCTTCCTGAGTACTGAATCAATTTAAGGCAGTGCAGGGAATTTCTAGTTGTGGTGATAACAAATGCCAGAGGGGCAGTGCTTACTCATATGCAGTTATATTTCTGAATTAGCAAGACTCAGTGCATGTACTCTGAAAGCAGCTTCTTTTTCTTTGCCATCTTTTAGAGCCTCATTAATTCCTTCAGGAAGTCTTTGTCAAGTTCCCGGGATTGTTCTAGTTCCCCGGGTTGCAAAGGAGGCAAGGCAGACAGCTCTCCTCCATGTGGAGCTTGCCTTCCTAGTTGGGGAGACAGTCAAAAGTAGGTATGAAGAAAAGAGAAAGAGAAATTGGTCCAGAAAATAGACCATTTGAGAAACTTTGGGACAGAGAGAAATTTTTTTGGTTGAGTGGGCAGTGTATGTTCATGAATACATGGCAGCATTCTCCTGTATTTAAATCATAGCCAAGCTTCCTTTAGTCCAGTGACTCCTACATTAAATAACGGAAAACACTGGCCATGGACATGGATTAAGCTTTTTCTTTATGTTACCAAACTCAGGCATGCAGAACCATGGCTTGCTAGGTGTAAGAGTTGTTCCGTCTAATTCAGTAAGTAGTTTACGAAGGGGTAATGAAGGTGGCACAGACTGGGCACAAGCCTCTTTCCAAGTAGCAGGCCAAGTTCTTCTGCCGCAGAGAGGCACCTGTTCACAGATGTCACTTCTAGATACTCAAAAGTCAGAGATGGGTTTGAATTGACAAACTCATTCTTCGAAATATCGACAGCCATTTTAAATAGTGAAATCATTCACATTCTCTGAATTATTTCATTGTGATTGGATGATTCGTTTTTTTCTTTTACCTGACAAGGCCCTTAAAGCCTTGAGAAAATGAAGTTTTAGTCAGTAAAATAAAGTTAAGTTTAAAGAATGGCATATTTACTTACATTGAGGGCAGATACAGTGCAGGGCTACAGAAGGAAGGCAAGAAGAGATTTCAGAAAGATGACTTTTATCTACTTTGGAGTTTTGCGATTGGCCTACTCCCTGCACATCATCTTATCTTCTTCCTTAGGCCCTCTAATCTTCCTAATAAGCTAGTTGGCAAAGTTACCGTGAATGGCTTCCATACAAGGTGGTACCACAGAACAACCCAGTGCTACCACTCAAAAGATACTACCACACAGCGTTCCCTTAAGCCATTGGCCCAACAGGTGGGCAGCTACACCAGGTGGAATTGCAGGGCCCCATCAGCTTGTGACAATACCAATAGCAAATTAGCATTCCAGACAAACTGCTGGGGCACATCAGCACAGACCCGTCTATGTCAGGACTGTAGTCCCAGCAAGCCTGGACCAACCAGCACCTTCCCCCCACAGAAGAAGGTTTCTAGGGACTCTGTCAGCAAGTATTTACTCATCCTAGGTTTCTGGGCTGCCTGAAAGCCACACAAACACAGGTGGATCCCTGTGTATCATGAAGCATAACAGTGAAGCCATTTTGGTTTCAGTTTTTGGCAGAGTAAATAATGCCCAACTATTTTGAACAATCCCAGGAACATTAAAATACCATGCAATTTTGACAAGAGTAGGAGAAATTGCCAACCTCTACTTAGAAAATAGCATAAAAATATAAAAGGAAAAACATTGCTAAGCTCCTTTCTGTTCCAACCTCTAAACCTAAAATGTTGGCCTATAGAGTCAGTCTGCCCTTTAACTTATAGCAGGGATGGTTGTTAGGTCAAGTTGATATAGTGTCCCTTAAACTTGCTGCTTGTTGTCTCATAGATGAGATCTACGGGAACAGCTTGATTTCTGCTGTGATCGACAGCTGCAACTGCTCGGATTCCAGTGACATCGAACTGAGTGATGATTGGGCTGCCAAGAAATCTCCCAAAATTTCCAGAGCTAGTAAATCACCCAAACTCCCAAGGTAATCATCCAATCTTCAGGGTACCTCTGATAAGATTGTTTTTGTCTGCATCAGAGTCCCATTGAAACTGAGACTAGTGAAGATTCTGAACCATCCTGAGTCCAGAATGCTGCTCAGTTCCAGAACCTTCTCTTGCTCACCTAAACTTTCTGGGAGGAAGGAAGGAAGAAAGAAAGGAAGGAAGGGAGGGAGGGAAGAAGGAATGAAGAAAGGAGAGAAAGGGAGCTGAAGGAGAGAGAAAGGGAAAGAGAGTAAAACGTGACATTTGAACAACAGCAAGATCAACACTCTCTTTTCTTTTCTCATCACCTTTTCTTCTGGAAGACTGTCCCTGGAATAATTACAGTGATTGTTTATTTGTTTCCTTTTAGGAAGTTTGCTAAATCCCCAAGGGGTTAGCCTTGTTTTTCCTTCCAGTTTAAGAAAAGAAAGAAGGTTTTACAATGTGTTGAGGAGAATGCCATCTTAAATGCCTATATTGCTATAACTGGGAAATTGATAGTAAACTAAATTTAAAAAATAGTTCCTAAGATCTATCTAAAGACAGAAAGCTAAGAGTAGATGGAAGGGCCTGCATTGTTTCAGATGAGAATACCACCTTCCTTCTCTGTTGCTGTTTGTGGCTGAGTGATCTTGGGATCTTGGTTAAAGGTAAGAGTTTCCTGATCTGAGGACTTTAATGGGTAGACAGATCCTTACCACAATTTTTGCCAGCTATATAATTCTGTGGTGCTAAGTGAAGGTGTAATTTAGCTGTAGATATACACGTCCAAATGCTCAACTCTCAAACAGGTAACCTACTTGCACAGTTGATAAAAGAGTGTTCCTCACCTGTTTCAAGATAAAGAACATGCCAGTCATCCCAGAAGATTTCTTGTGCTAGGCACTGTTACTGCTTGAACCACTCCAGCTGCCCTTTTTTGTGATGAGTTTTTTCGACACAGGGTCTCACAAACTATTTGCCAGTGGCTCACTTCAAACTGCAGTCCTCCTGATCTCTGCCTGCTGAGTAACTAGGATTACAGGTGTGAGCCACCAGCACCTGGCACTTTTGCCTTTTCTTGAACTTCATATGAGTGGAATCAAACAATATGTACTCTCTTTATCTGGCCTTTTTTTTTTTTTTTTTGCTCAAGATAAGATTTTGAAATTCATTTGTGTCACAGCATATATCAGTAAGTTGTCTTTATTGTTCAGTGGAATCATTCCTTATAATGACCTTATGTGTTTATCTTATTTACAACCAATGTATATTTAGTAGTTTCCAGCCTGGGGACATCATGAACAAATCTATTATAAATATTCTTAAACAAACTTTTTTCTGGGTATACACACTCATTCCCTTGGTTATACTTAAAAAGGGAGTTGCAAGGTTATGGGTTAGATAAATGTTAAACTTTAGTGAAGACTGCTAGACAGTATTCAAGGTAGCTGTACCAACTTAAATTCCCAGCAGCCATGTGTGAGAATCACAGCCACTTTGCTCTCATCTACAGCTCTATTGTATTTTAAAAAATACAATAAAAATACAATAAAGTTTTACTTTAGGTTTCACACTGTATCTCAGATAACTTCACATCTAGATTAATTTTTATATATGTGTGAATTAAGGGTAGTAAACATTTTTTCCATGTAGATACCCAATTGCTCCAAAATGTGATTGATTTATTTTTCATTATTATTCTAAAGCTGGTTAAAATTACACATAAAATTAAGATTCCAACACTTGCAGTGTTTTGTCTTTTCCCCTTATTTACATGGAAAGGTCATTTACCATGTATACAGCAAAACCCTCTGCTCCTAGATATCTAGTTACTGTGTCTCTGTGACTGGTCCCCCTTCCCTGTTCTTTCCTCACCTAGAATCCCCTGTACACAGCAGCCAGGCTAATGATCCCAGCTTACTGTTTTAATCAGCTCAATCCCCTATCCTTCCATTCCTCAGGAGCCCGAAGTTTCTTATCAAACTTAAAAGAAGTATATATGGGACTTCATGCATTTTTAAAATAGGATGTTAGAAACCTTACCACATTCTTTTTTATAACACACTCTTTGGGGAGACTGTTATAAATAAGGAAGGAAGGAACAGAGATAGAACATGGAATCAAAAGCAGACAACTTTAGAGTCACTATTTGGTTTAAGTTTTGCAGTGGTGAAGTGTTAGAAAAATCCTTTAAAATCCTAATTATAATAGAAGGAATTTAAAAAATCATAGTGGCCTTAGGATGAGAAGTGACTCTTCCCTCCTGCCACTTTTCCCAGGACTGATTGTGCAGACCTCTGGCAGAAGCCATGTGGCCATTTCCGAAATTACTGTAAGTCACTAGAAAGTGACAGTTAATTCTCGAGGTTCCTTAAAATGAATCACTTGGTCTAATCTCAATATATTTTAAAATTCTTTATTATTCAGTATACACTTTCTCATGTTCCTAAAGCAAACAAATGAGTGCTTCATGAAATTAAGGCCCTGGCCACCAAGAATCAACATCCTTGGCAGGTCCAGCTGCACATCTCTTTGCATGCCTGACCCCTCCTGACCTTGTCTCCACAGGATCAGCATTGAGGCCCGCAAGTCTCCCAAGCTTCCCCGGGCTGCTCAGGAGATTTCCCGGTCTCCCCGTTTGCCCATGCGCAAGCCCTCCATTGGCTCACCAAGCCTGGCGCGGAGAGAATTTCCTTTTGAAGACATCACTCAGGTAGTAGCACACGTCTGGCAGTGCAGCATCAGTGCGGTTGAATTGTCAGCCACTGGATGTGCCACTTTCCTTCCCACCTTGCCTGTCCCACTTACTGCCAAGCCCAGATGCAGGCAGCCTGGCTCTGCTGCACATGCCTTTTGTGGTAGAAATCTTCCTCCAGAGGATCTCTGGTTAAGACGCATCCACACTTTACATGTGCCTCACTCAAGCCTATTCTGTTCCTGCAGTGACTCCAGTCTGACCTGCCTGCCTCCCCCCCACCGCATCCACCCACATACACATGCACCCTAGCCCTCTGGACACAAGCCTGTCCTTTGCCCTGTGCCTTTGTTCTGCCTGCTTCAGCCTTTCCTTCTCCTTGTCCTTGTTTCTGCCTGCAGTTCCAGACCTAATAGTGCCACTCCATCATGAATGCGTCCTTCCCGGGCTCAGCCACAGTGTGCTGGCACATCTAGTTGGTGTCTAACCCCCTGGTGGTGTTTCTTAATGACTTCATTGGGTACAAATCACTAAAGTCTCATCTCTCCATTAGATTATAAGCCCCTCAAGGACATTTATTTTTGTGTGTGTGTCCTGTGTGACACCCACACAGGTGCATGCAATTACACATACTCCTTGGGCACAGTGGCAATTTTTTAAATATTTTCTGTGTAGCTGAGAAAATAGATAATTGGATAGTTTATCGATTATAACGGTATCAATGCAACTGATGTCTCCAGGAAAGATATAAAGCATAAAAATGGATTCAGGTGGCTGGTGGAGTGGCTCAAGTGGTAGAGTGCCTGGCCTAGCAAGCATGAGGCCCTGGGTTCAAACTCAGGGCCACCAAACCAGTACCACCAGAAAAAAAAAAAAAAAGTACTCCGAGTTAGGTCCCCTCGCTAGTCTAGTGATTGGAGAAAGAAGAGGTGAGAAAAATATCACCAAATTACTTTGGTGGCCTTTTCATTTATTTTTAATGTCTCAGAATTTATTTGTTTGTTAATTTATTTCATTTGAGATTGGGCCTCAGTATGTAGCCCAGTCTGGTCTGGACCGCAAGATCTTTCTGCCTCAAACTCCCAATTTCTGGGATTATAGGCCACAATACCTGGCTTTTTTTACTTCTTTGAGATGGGGTCTCACTATATTTCTTTAGCTAGACTCGAACTCATGGGCTTAGTGATCCTCCCACCTCAAGCCTCCCAAGTAGCTGGGACTACAGATGTTTATCACTGTGCCGAGCTTTAGTGGTCTTTTCATATGCATTTTTGCTGGTACAGAACCAGCCTTCATCCCAGCTCACTACACCATCACTAGGAAATGAGAGTCTGGTCTTAAAAATGCAGGATGATGGTGGGAGTTGGTTTTTCTGGCAGTGTAGTCTTGTGGCTTTTTCAGCAATAAATGTTAACAGTCTTACTAAGCAACCAATAAAAAATACGGAAACAGACTGATATTCTTCCTTTTTCTTTCCTTTTTTCCCCCACAGCACAGTTACCTTGCTCAGGTCACATCCAATATCTGGGGAACCAAATTTAAGATTGTGGGCTTGGCTGCTTTCCTGCCAACCAACCTCGGTGCAGGTAAAAACTCACCCTGTTTGCTCACTGTTCCAGGTGGAACTCAAGTAAAAATCTGGTTTCAACCTTTGGCAGACTAAAGTAGAAAATGAGCTTTTAAGACAGAACAAGAGCAGCATATGTATAACTCTTAAGCCTTGACTCCAACCACTGTGATTTCAGAAAAACAGAATTATCACTCAAACAAACTGGTTTTTGCCACTGGTGCTTTCATTTTTTAATAAACTCTGACTTACTAAAATAATAGTAATACAAAGATGACAAAAATAGCCAAAATCTTTGCCAAACCTCTCAAAGATTTCTAGGTATTTTTGGCCTCTGTGGGCAGATTTTGAAACCAGTGTTTAGGTTCTTGAAGTCATAAGAACCTTCTGAAGAAAGTAGTCAGGAAGGAAAACTCTAAAGCTTGTAAGTTGTTAGCTGACTGTTCAGAGCTGTTCTTAGTGGTAAATATTTGTAGGTTTCACTTTTCAGTATTAGATAACAGGTAGACATTCTACCCATGACAAGTTTGAGACAGAGAGCCTGGTAGAGTGGCTCAAGTGGTAGAGTACCTGTGTAGCAAACATGAGGCCCTGAGTTCTAAACCCCAGTGCCACAAAAAAAAAAAAAAAAAAAGTTTGAGACAGAGGGAAAAACTGAACCAAGGTGGTACAAACCGGGCCAGAACCAGGCTTTGGTTCTCTTCTGCATTCCCCAAAAGAATAGTAATAGCTTGTCATGTTTACCTCAGAGACAATGAACAAATGAAAATGGCAAAAGATGCTTTTCAAAACAATGTCTTTGCCAGGTGGATCCCTCTTTGGGTTACGTAGCTATGTTGCTCACCTCATCTTCCTCAGTTGCCTCTTTGTTTCCCATTATACACATTTTTCTGACGCCAGGGAGGACTGTGGCCCTCCATCTCATCTGTGCTCTGTGCAACCTACTAAAAATTGGGTTTTTTAAAATAAATTTCAAATCTGTCTATAAGAGTTTCCTACACAGGTCCTATGAAATGAGTTATTTTTGCAAATCAAATTTAAAATACCTATTGATGGACTGGGGATGTTGCTCAATGATAGAACACTTGCCTGCTTGCATAAGAACCTATATTTGATCCCTCAGCACTACAAAAAAAAAAAAAAAAGCAAAACGACCTTTTACTTGTGTACATCTTCAGAGATTTATTAAAGAGCACTGCTGGACACAGTGGCTCATACCTATAATCCTGGAACTTGGGAGGCTGAGGCAGGAGGATCAAGAGTTCAAGGCTAACCTGGGCTACATAGCAAAATCCTGTCTCAAAAAAAATACTGGATTTTTAATTTTGAGGTCTGTCGTCTGAAAGAAAAAGAGGAATAAAAGAAGAACATAACCTGACTTGGGTTCAGTCCCAAGTTCCACAAAAAATAAATAATAGACCATCTTGAATGTAATGTGAAGACATCGCTCATGACCACAGAAATATGTTCAATTATTTATCTGTTCCCTATTGATAGATATGGTTGGTGTTAATAACTACTGTTTGAATATTATTATCCCCACATCAGTGAGCGGAAAAATTAGCCATCTGCTTATAGTAAACATTGAAAAAAATAAATCTTGTATGAGAAATAAGGGCAGAATGAAGAATAGTTCCTCAAATAAGCCAATTAGGATCTTAAAGTGAGAGGCTGTGAGTGACTGAATCACGTTACTCCAGTCTGAGTCAGTTGAGTGCCTAAGACAAAAGCTTTCTGTGACTGCATTGGAACTGTCCTGATCATTGACATCTTTAAGCGTTAGGGCCCATATAGTTAGTATTATCAAACTAAAACCGTTTTCCACTGGATTCTACTAGAGTAAAGAAATTATATTGTAAAAGGTATGCTATGTATGGTACCCCATTAGGTAATCTTTTCAAAGACAATAGATATATTCCACTGGACTTAAAAAATGGATGTTCCTTATATTGAATAATTCCTTTAATTAGAGTTATCTGCTCCATGGAACTTTTTATTTTTCATATTTCTTAATTTAAATATATGCTGGATTCAAAATTCAAGAGTCAAAGGCACATTCAGTAAAAGTCTCATCCTGACCTTCCAGCCACCTAACTTTCTTTCCTGGAGGCAACTGATGTTGTTTTCCTAATCTGTCCTCAGTTTTTTTTTTTACTTTATTTTTTTTGTTGCCTGAGATTCCCTTGGGTTTCACAGTCATTGTCAGTACCATTTTCACTAAATTATACTTCCAGTTACAAATGAGCCTTTTAAAAAATTTTCCCCTACACTAGCTTGTTACAAAACCAAAAAAGATTTAAGTCTTAAGATACAGGGGCTTTTGTCAGGAGGGAGTTTGGCTTTTGGGAGATTTTTTGCTGTTGTTTTTTTGAGATAGGGGCTCACTTATGTAAGTCCAAGCTGACTTCAAACTGTTTACCCTCCTCCCTCAGTCTCCTAAGTCCTGGAATTACAGATGTGCACTATCACGCCCTACTTAGGATATGCTTTTTATATTCAAAATTCATGGTTCTATAGGCAGTTCATGGTTGGCAGACTGGTTGAGCTAAACCAAGAATTTGTCATTGCTGAGTCCAAAACCACAACCAGCATGACCTCATGTATGCAGGAGAGATGAAGAACTCATCTCTTGCATTTCTCTTCTTGAAGCTCTGCTGACACTTTGGCTCTCCACATTGTGTCTTTATTAACTGTGCCCTTCTTCCTCCTTACCAGTAATCTATAAAACCAGTCTGCTGCATCTCCAGCCACGGCAAATGACTATCTATCTCCCAGAAGTTCGGAAGATTTCCACGGACTATATTAATTTACCTGTCTTCAACCCAAATGTTTTCAGTGAAGATGAAGATGATTTACCAGGTGCGTTCACATGCATGTGCTCCTTTGTCCCAGTCCCTCTTTAGTGAGTCATGCAAGGGGGGACAGAGTGATGGTAAGTCATCGAGGAGTATAGCCTGCTGCCTTGGTTTGGAGAAGGCACACCTGCCTTGGTAAGCTTGATAGACGCTATGGTATGTCCCAAGAGAAAGGTTGCAGTTAGACATGTCTTTAGAAGGAGGGAGACTTAACAGCATGTCTAGTGACAGTGGCACCTCGCATTCCCAGAGCACTTCTCACATCTCTTCTCCTTGCGGTCACTTTCTGTATCATGTGCCAGATAAAGATAAGTTAGAAGGACTAAAACCCCACCTTGATCTAGGTTAGCCTCCTCTCCATCCCCACATAAAGAACACCTCTCTCCAGTGGCCCGTGGTGCCCACACAGCTTAGCTTCTCAAACCTCCTTGCATCTAGCACAGAGAGTCTTTGCAGTTGAACACCTCTCTTCCACTGTGCAGTGCAGATCTCTGCATAGAGGACTGGCCTGAGCAAAAGGTGAAATCTGGCTGGGCACCGGTGGCTCACATCTCTAATCCTAGCTGCTCAGGAGGCAGAGATCAGGAGGATCTTGTCATTCAAAGCCAGCCAGAGGCAGATAGTAAAACCCTATCTTGAAAAAAACCTTCACAAAAAAGGGCTAGTGGAGTGGCTTAAGGTATAGGCTCTGAGTTCAAGCCCTAGTACCGCAAAAAAAAAAAGGTGAAATCTGGTACACCATTTTTAAATTTTACTTCACAAATCATCAAATAATCTGTAGCATCTTAAGTTAATTTGTTTCCTGGTGGGAATTCTATTTTGATTAATAGATCAAAATGATGTCTAATTAGACCAGGAATCAGTTCTGTTACTATTCTCAACTACTTGAGGGCACTTGAAAAAAACTGCTTTTCTAAGTAAAAATTCACCTGTGATTTCATAGATAACAGGGACTTCTTTACTTCCAACATCAATATCCAGTGTGGTGAATAAAGCCTCATGTACTTGAGCTTGACAGGCATATCCTGTGCTGTTTCGGTATCTTGAGTTTAGAAGTGTCTTACACTTCCCTCCCCCCCCCCCGCCCCGTTCTCCCCAAATACAATAAATATAGCTGTTTCCGGGGTTCAGTTGCTGCTGCAGTTGTCACTGCTATCTGGGATTCCCAGTGAGAGTGGGAATCATGCTGTCTCGGTATCACATTCACTGAGGGGATTGCACAAAAACGCTGTTCCTGTGTTGTCAGTGTTCCCTGGAGACGAAAATATCTGGAAGAGGAATCTACATAGGAGTCATGGGAAACCTGAGATGGGACCGAGATCCTTGCAGGCACAGGATCACCATGATTCACTGGAGGCCTCCAGAAGGGGGAGATTTGGTTTCAGGGCCCATTTGGTGGTTTAACTTATGATACACCAGCTGCTGCATTCTTCAGTTCTGGTGCGAGGTTGACCAGCTTGTACAATGAGCCTGTTAGATACTGTTTCCTGCCCAGGTAGTAGTTGCCATGTAGATCTTAGCACTAGGCTTCAGGCCTTTGGATCTGTGTCAGTGTTCCCTAAGGAGGAGCCATGGTGGCTGAATGGACCACGAGGAGCAAAACTGCTGAAGTTCTCAGTAGGCACTTTCAAAAATGGCACAGACAGTGGTTCTAATACCTGCCTGCAGGTCACTACTCACATGCATGCTCAATGAAACTTCCACTGTACATAAATATGGAATGTTCGCAGGGTCTTCTTCTGCAGGACTCTTCCTTACGTGTTATTTGTAGTGCTAAAAAGCACCTAATATGCACATTTGCTAGCAGATTCTTATTTGTTGGTTTTTCTACTACATTTTACATGGTTCTATTTGTAGAAAATTTATACACAAATTTCAGATACATATCTGTTACATGTCACTTCCCACATGAAATAATCCATAATTGTGGATAAAACTGCTTGAAAGACTTAAGCATGTGAGTCCTCAGTGAAATTTCATATGTATCACAGCCCTCTTCTTGAATAACAGGGCAAGTATTTTATGAGTATCATCAGTAAAAAAAAGTTTTTTAGACATTTAATTATTTGTGATTCAGTACCACTCAGGCACATGATACCAAATTCAGAAGGCTTAAAAGCTGTGCTCATTGAAAAGCTCTGACAGTGCTCTTTTTTTTTTTTTTTTTTTTTTTTTTGCTTTTATTCATATGTGCATACAATGTTTGGGTCATTTCTCCCTCCTTCCCCCGCCCCCTCCCTTACCCTCCCTCCCGCTTCCTCCCTCTCCCCTCCACCCCCTCACTAACCAGGCAGAAACTATTTTGCCCTTATCTCTAATTTTGTTGAAGAGAGAGTATAAGCAATAATAGGAAGGACCAAGGGTTTTTGCTAGTTGAGGTAAGGATAGCTATACAGGGAGTTGACTTGCATTGCTTTCCTGTACATGTGTGTTACCTTCTAAATTAATTCTTCTTGAACTAAACTTTTCTCTAGTTCCTAATCCCCTTCTCCTATTGACCTCTCTGACAGTGCTCTTAGCCCACATTCAACAGGCAAGCTGCCCTGAAGACCCCCCAGTTGCCTGTATGTCCTTCCAAAAATATTAGAGAAGCTTTGTGAACAGTCTTCCTCAAACACATCTCAATTTCTAGCAATTGCATTTTGCATGCAAAATATGAGATGAGTCCAAATGTACTGTTTAATCTGGCACAATTTCATGACACTATTTTTCTAATTTCCTTCCAGTAACAGGAGCATCTGGTGTCCCTGAAAGCAACCCACCTTGTACCGTGAACATCCCTATCGCACCAATCCACAGTTCTGCTCAAGCTATGTCCCCTACACAGAGCATAGGGCTGGTGCAGTCTCTGCTAGCCAATCAAAATGTGCAGCTGGATATCCTGACCAATCAGACAACGGCTGTGGGGGCGATAGAACATGCAGGAGACAGTGCCACCCAATACCCAGTCTCTAACCGGTACTCCAACCCTGGACAGGTGATTTTTGGAGGGGTGGAAATGGGCCGCATCATTCAAAACCCTCCTCAGTTGCCCTTGCCACCACCGCCACCACCACCACAAGGAGCTGTGCAGCTGTCTGTGGTGGACCATGGAGACCGAGATCACGAGCACTTGCAGAAGTCAGCCAAGGCTTTGCGGCCAGTGCCTCAGCTGGCAGCTGAGGGGGATGCAGTGGTTTTCAGTGCCCCCCAGGAGGTCCAGATGACGAAGATGAACCCTCCTCCCCCCTACCCAGGAACCATTCCTGCTGCCCCCACCACGGCAGCACCCCCGCCCCCTCTGCTACCACCACAGCCCCCAGTGGACGTGTGCTTGAAGAAGGGTGACTTTTCCCTCTACCCCGCAGCAGCACATTACCAGCCCCCCCTGGGCTATGAGAGGATCACCACCTTTGACAGCAGTGGCAATGTGGAAGAGGTGTGCCGGCCTCGAACTCGAATGCTCTGTTCCCAGAACACCTACACCCTTCCTGGCCCAGGCAGCTCAGCCACCTTGAGACTCACGGCTACTGAGAAAAAGGTCCCCCAGCCCTGCACCAGTGCCACTCTGAACCGCCTAACCGTCCCTCGCTACTCCATCCCCACAGGTGACCCACCTCCATATCCCGAAATTGCTAGCCAGCTGGCCCAGGGGCGGAGCGCTGCCCAAAGACTGGATAGCAGCCTCATCCACGCCACCCTACGGAGGAACAACCGTGAGGTTGCACTCAAGATAGCCCAGCTGGCTGACAGCTGCCGGGCCCCACTACAGCCTCTGGCCAAGCCCAAGGGTGGTTCTGGTGGGGCAGTGGCACAGCTTCCAGCACGGCCCCCACCAGCCCTGTACACTTGCAGCCAGTGCAGTGGTGCAGGGCCCAGCTCACAGTCAGGTGCCGTCCTGGGCCATGCTCTCAGCAACTCCCCGCTGGCTTCCCAGTCCTCCTACAACCTCCTGAGCCCACCCGACAGTGCCCGAGACCGCACTGATTACGTCAACTCAGCCTTCACAGAGGATGAGGCTCTGTCCCAGCACTGTCAGCTTGAGAAGCCCCTGAGGCATCCCCCACTGCCCGAAGCCACTGTCACTATGAAGCGGCCTCCCCCTTATCAGTGGGACCCTGTGCTGGGTGATGATGTTTGGGTTCCTCAGGAAAGGACAGCACAGCCTGCAGTGCCCAACCCTTTAAAACTGTCTTCTCTGATGCTAGGAGGGCAGGGCCAGCATCTGGACGTGGCTCGAGTGCCCTTTGTCTCCCCAAAGTCCCCTGCCAGCCCTACTGCCACTTTCCAGACAGGCTATGGGATGGGAGTGCCATATCCAGGAAGCTATAACAACCCCCCTTTGCCCGGAGTGCAGGCTCCCTGCTCCCCTAAAGATGCCCTGTCTTCAGCACAGTTTGCACAACAGGAGTCTGCTGTTCTTCAGCCAGCGTACCCACCTAGCCTCTCCTATTGCACCTTGCCTCCCACATACCCAGGAAGCAGCACTTGTTCTAGTTTACAGCTGCCACCTATCCCCTTACACCCATGGAGTTCATACAGCGCCTGTCCACCAGTGCAAAATCCCCAGGGTACTCTTCCCTCTAAACCGCATTTGGTGGTGGAGAAGCCCCTTGTGTCCCCACCACCCACTGACCTCCAAAGCCACATGGGAACAGAGGTGATGGTAGAGACTGTAGACAACTTCCAAGAAGTCCTCTCCCTGACAGAAAGCCCAGTCCCCCAAAGGACAGAAAAGTTTGGAAAGAAGAGCCGGAAGCGTCTGGACAGCCGAGCAGAGGAAGGAAGTGTTCAGGCCATCACAGAGGGCAAAGTGAAGAAGGAGGCTAGGACTTTGAGTGACTTTAATTCTCTCATCTCCAGTCCCCGCCTGGGAAGAGAAAAGAAGAAAGTGAAGAGTCAGAAAGACCAACTGAAGTCAAAGAAGTTGAACAAGACAAATGAATTCCAGGACAGCTCAGAGAGTGAGCCCGAGCTGTTCATCAGTGGGGACGAGCTGATGAACCAAAGCCAGGGCAGCAAGAAGGGGTGGAAGAGTAAGAGAAGCCTGCGGACAGCCAGCGAGCTGGAGGAGTTCAAGTGCCGGAAAGCCAGTGAGAAGGAAGATGGGCGGCTGGGCAGCCAGGGCTTCGTGTATGTGATGGCCAACAAGCAGCCTCTGTGGAATGAGGCTACACAGGTGTACCAGCTGGACTTTGGAGGACGGGTGACCCAGGAGTCGGCCAAGAACTTCCAGATCGAGTTAGAGGGGCGGCAGGTATGGATGCTGTGGCACTGTGGCCACTGAGTGAAGGAGGTCAGTGCTTTGGCCTCCAGGGGCACTTGTCAAAAGACCAGGAAAAAAAGGGGAGAAACAGCTCATTTCTTTTAGGTAGAGCCAGTGAAATTAGAAATATGTGTGCCCACTGCTGCCTTTTGTGTATTTTTAACCCAAGTAAGATGAGTATACCGAATATTAGTCAAATGATTCCATGAGACTTCTAAGTAAAATCAGCAGGCCCCAAGCCGCCCCTCACAGTACCTGCTCTCCCAGAGGCGGGTGCTTCTCAGCATTTGTTGTTTTTTTTTCTGGTATTTCCCATCATATTTGCAAAGAACATGTTTATGTTCCTACTTACTAGTGTTTCCATTTTGGACATCTTATCTATATTGCCTTCTCTCTGAGGCACTCTCATGGACTGTGCTCTGATTCCATCAGGAGCTAAACAGATTTAGTTATCTCTTTCCCACCCCTTTTCCTTTCATGATTTTGTTTCCACACCACCCTCTCCACCATATACAGTTTGGATAGCTTGATGGCAGTGTATACCTTCTAGACCTCTAGTACCTGTTCTCGATTGATCATTATCTTCTGTCTGGAGAATGTTTGTTTGCTTCACCTCTGTCTCCCTTCCCCATACTACATGTATGAACTTCCCCTCCCCCTTTCCCAGTTAAAGCAATAATCATTCACAACCTTGTTATCCCAGTGAGTATATGCTAGCTGAGCCTTGTGTATCAGGTACTATGGCAGTTTTTCCTAGACTTACTGCCTAGTTTTTGTTTGCCTGTTTCTCCTTGAACTTATTAATAAGTCATATCCCAATTCCCTGACAAAAGGTAAGTCTCTTGGTACAGCTTAGCACCATTGGTCAGTGTTTCCTGCTTCTACCTGGGTGGCTGCCATAGCTCTGCTGCTTAAGTTCACCTCTTCACCATCCTTGGAATCCCTTTAAGCCACCATTTTTAAAATTACATTTTTATTCATTCATTTATCAAGTATTTGCTGAGTACCCACTTTGTGCCTGGCAGTCCTCTAAGCCAAGAATAGGCAAACTGGCCCATGGGTCTATCTGGCCTGCTGCCTCTGCTTGTAAATAAAGTTTTATTGAAACACAGCCCTGCCTACTCACTTGATGTATAATCTACAGCTGCTTTCATCTAATATGAGCAGAGTTGAGTGGTTGCTGCAGAGAGTGTATAACTTACAAAGCCTAAAATGCTTATTATCATCCCTTTACAGAAAGCTTGCCAACCCCTACTCTAAGTGTGAAATTATAGTATTGAGAAAAACAGAAGCCACTGCCATCATGGAACTTCAAAAAGTGGGAGAAAGACCACAAACAAATTAGCATATGTTCTACAATGTAATGCAGTAATTCATGTTACCACAGGAAGTAGTAAGGTCACAAGTACAGCAGGATGAGGAGGTGGAGCATAGTGGACAGGTAGGAGGCTGGGATGTTCTAGAAGGGTGGTCCAGGAAGCCCTCTGTAAGGTACAGACATTCAGCAATTAGAATGGACACTTCTCTGAGGTCTCTGAGAGATTCTGCCGTCTTCTTTTTCTCTCTCCGAAATCCTTCCTTGGTGAAGAACCATTTTCATTTGGCTTGTAGAGCTCCATGTTCTGAATTTTGCTCATTGTCTCCTCTTCCACTGTTTCACACGTTCCTGTCTCTAACTACAAGCTTGTAGTTAGATCTGGAAGCTGAGATTTTGTCACTTTTTTGGTTGGCAGAACTGTCTTATGGACTGTTCTGTCTGCTTCCCTCAGGAACTGGTAGATCTAACTGTCTCTTTTGCACCTTGTTTTTCTCTTATGTCTTTGTTTCCCACACTTCTCTCCCAGGTGATGCAGTTTGGAAGGATTGATGGCAATGCATACATTCTAGACTTCCAGTACCCCTTCTCAGCTGTGCAGGCCTTTGCTGTTGCCCTGGCCAATGTGACTCAGCGCCTCAAATGGCTGGGATGTTTAGAAGGGTGGTCCAGGAAGCCTCTGTAAAGGGTAAGCCTTCAGAATTGCATGGACACTTTCTGAGGTCTTCTGAAGATTTGGCGTTTCTTTTCCTCTCTACCAGAATCTTCTTGGTGAAGAACATTTTCATTTGGCTTGTAGAGCTCCATGGTTCTGAATTTGCTCATTGTCTCCTCTTCACTGTTTCACACGTTCCTGTCTCTAACTAAACTGTAGTTAGATCTGGAAGCTGAGATTTTGTCACTTTTTTTGGTTGGCAGAACTGTCTTATGGACTGTTCTGTCTTGCTTTCCCATAGGAATGGTAGATCTAACTGTCTCTTTTGCACCTTGTTTTCTCTTATGTCTTGTTTTCCCACACTTCTCTCCCAGGTGATGCAGTTTGGAAGGATTGATGGCAATGCATACATTCTAGACTTCCAGTACCCCTTCTCAGCTGTGCAGGCCTTTGCTGTTGCCCTGGCCAATGTGACTCAGCGCCTCAAATGAAGATACTGGTGCAGGAGGAGAGAAGCCAAGGAACCTCTGGAGGTGGAGCCTGTGCTGCCGCTTCCCAAAGGACTGGAGACAACAGTGGAACTGGAAGAGTCCATGAGAGCAGCAGACCACTGGTCTTTAGGCTTGGTCATTTATTTGATTATCCTTTATTGTCTTTCTTTTCTTCTTTCAGTGTAGTGGCATTTGGAAGCCAGAGGTATGAAGTGCTTGGTGTTCTTCCAGGCAGTGTAGCTTAACTGTAGAATATGCTGCTGGGTTTGCTTCTCAGCAACCAGGACAAGGGCCTTTGGAGAAAAGATAGACTGCCTTCTAGCCTGCTATTTTAGACATAGGGAGTGTACATTACTGTTCATTCTCCATGACATCTGGCCTCTATTACTCATCTGACATTACCACTAGTGCAAAATAAAAAATTTTTTAAAAAAACACGACCAGAAATCCTGAAAATTCAGGTTCTTCTGCGGGGAGGGGCAGCATTTAATTCATACATACTATGCTATCCCCAAAAGATGACTTGATAATGAAGGGTATGTGGCAAATGCACTGTGTCCACTAATAAAGTAAGCTCTGTATAGGGGTGCTATTACTAAGGTAAATGCAGTTTGGTCAGTGATAGTGTCAGGGAAGGGATGATGGGTGAGCAAGGAACTGTAGACAGGCTTACACAGCTCGCGACACTGGGTGACTCAATGATGTGACTTGTAACAAAGCCTACACTCTCATCCATGGATGTTTATGTTGAAAAGATTCACTAGTTTCATAGGACAGTGATGATTATTCAGTAAGATTGCTTCGGGAAAAGATAAGACCACAATAGTGGAAATATTGCGGCTAGGATAGGGCTAGGGATTATCTCTGATAGTGTGTTTGGTGAGTCACTAGTCCCGAAACTTGTTTTAGGAGCAGCCTGTATTCTTTCTATGCCTTTTATTTTTTAATCTTCGGAGATACTACTGTAAACATATTTTTCATTAGATATATCAATGATTGTGCTTTCTAAGAAAGTATGGATGAGAACTTGAGTTGAAACTACTCCTTCTCCTATTCGTTATATTAAAATTCAATTGACTATAAATACTTTCCATCAAATTGGAAATGTATCCAAAAACTGTTTTTTAAGCTTTTGCCAACGTATTAAAAAGGTAGCGTTATGGTCAGATCTGTGACAAAAGCTCCATGATATTCCCTAAGGAAAAACAAGAGCTGTTTATTAACTATACAGACTGTTTATTGAGGAGATAAACCACTGGGAATATATTGTTAAAATTACCATACTTGAGGCAGTTGGTCTACTGTTAATTGGAAAAAAAAAAAAAAATCCTCCACCTAGAATATCTTTGCCTACTTTCCCCTCCTCATGGGAACACCGTGGGCAATATTCAAGCCTGACAGTAAGAACCAGTTCATGGTTTTTTTTTTTTTTTTTTTTTTACTCATACCTGTGATATTGTTTAAGTCCAGAGCACAAGAGCTGACTATTGGCCTTGACTCCTAAATTTGGACTTTATTTGAAACAGACAAGTGGAAGGTGGTTCAGCAAAGTATTTTCAAGTTAAAGTTTTTTTTTTAACTCCCTGTGTTTGAAGAAATAGAAAAGAAACTGTCCAATTCCTTTGCAAGAACAAGATAAAAGTCACTCTCCATTCTTTCCAAATTCCAACGAAATACAAGGTTTTTAAACATAGCAGAGGACATCTTCCAGCTAGCACTGGAGTTTCCTGTTTTGTAGTTAAAATATGAAACCTGATTCTTTCGTGGGTAAATTCTTCAAAAAGAATTTAGCAGAATATTCAGAATTATCTAATTCTTTTATTTGAGTTTCTACAGCTTGATATGGTGTTTCAGTGCTTATTAGTTGTGCAATAATGGTTATAGCCTGTTTCTGAAATAATTTAAATGTGATTCCCCCATTTTGTTGTCCAAAAGATATTTATCTTGCTTTTCATAGCATTCTTAGGAATTATTTTGCTACTATGTATTGGTGAGCTGTGCCCATTTTATTATTTATTTAGAAAAACAGCATCTTTGTAACGACTTATTTGGTAGCAGTATATTTTACTGCAGAAAATAAAGAGAATGTGATAGAAGATGTTTTTGCTGGATAATTTGTAACTTTTTTCTAGTTGGGGAAAAATCCTCTATTAATCCTTTAAAAATATTTTTATTTCATGGTAGTCATTATATACAATGGATAATATTTCTTTAAGGTAGCATTCCCTAAAATAATATTTCCTTTATTTTGAGTTTAATTTTTAATTAGAAATAAAAGATGATAGGAAATGAGTGAGACCTATTAGATGAAGAGTAGTGAAGGAAGGAACTCTTAAGAAGTAAGCTTCAGGTTTTCAAATTAGAACAAATATGGAGAAAATCCCTCCCCAGAAGACATTTTCCACATGGAGATAGGCTTCCTGCATCAGCTGGTGTAGGGACAAGAGAGTCTACAAGGGAGTGAGCATATAGCACCTGACCCACCCCCACCCCAGGCCATGGTGGAGGGAGTCTTGTGTGCCAAGGCAGTAGTTGTGATACGGTGTCTTTTAAAGTCATGGTGGTGGTTTTACTTAGTAAAAAAAGATTGCTTTCATTCTGTCATTCTCAGCTGAGTACATACTATGAAAGTAAGACTTTAAACAGCAGAATTCTAGGCACTTTATGTTTGTTAATAACAACTTATAAACGTCCAGCTATTTGATGGCTCCCTAAATTTAAAAACATTGGTCCAGTAAAAAGTAAATTTCATAAAGACTTTTGAGAGAAGCAGTATATTAACAGACATAAAAACCAGTTTTAAATTTTCTTGACTCTAACCTCATCAAACCAAAAGCCATAGATATAAAATGCCCATTGAATGTATATCCTAAGAAAAATTGGGACCAAAGAAATAAGAAACTCTCAAAGCTCTATAGCAGAGAAAGAAAAGGCTTTTTCAGGTTGCTAGTTTTCATCCATAGGTGTCTCATGAGGACATGCAGAAATGGGTAATGTTCATTTTATAATCATAATAGGTGAGGACCCCCAGGGTTGAGCCTGCTCTGCCATAAGGCTGGAGGGTGACCATGAGCAAGTCCCTGGGACCTCCAGACCTCCCTTTGTCCATTTGTAAAATGAAAGGGACTCACAGAACAATCTTCTAAACTCCTTTCCCAGCTCCAGCAGCCTGGGAGCTCAGAATGGAACAGCTTCATCTTCCACCTCACAAGCATGGAAAGTATGTTTCAAAACTGCCCTTTTGTAGAGAAGAATTTCTTTTCCTGAGTCTGTAAGCTGTCTACTGAATACAAACCAGTGCATTTTACATACTATCTTTAGAAAGTTTACCTCTAAAAGAATTTAGAATCCTGCTTGTTCTCATAAAATTATAGAAGCATGGATTCCAGGCAATGGAAGAGGTCCCCTTGTTCAGAGGACACCTTCAAGAAAAACCCTAAAAGCACCAGTTGCCCCCAGAACTGAGAGTGGATTGAAAAAGAACAGAGGAGTGTGGATCCAGGCTGACTTGCATCCTTCAGGGTACTCCTGTGCTCAAGTATTACACTACCTTCCAATTCAAAAGATTTCTTAAAAAGGAACCTGTGAAAAAGAAACCCATGGAGTCTCTGTGTGGAATATCAGTCACTTGGTCAAATCTGTGGTTGTGGACAAAGTTAGCTGAGACAAAATGGGTCACAAACGTTATTTGAGTTCCTGGGAATATGTACTAGCACACAGTTCAGAACTCTTTCATTTGTGTATTTCCTTAAATGCGGCTGATAAACCCTGAAGGATTGTGGCTTATTTTCTTTGGCTTTGTGCAATTCTTGTGTAACTTTCCTTATACCTGTCTTTTCTGTTTATAATTTGTTTTTAAGGGGAGGGGTAGGATTTAAAGATTTCATTTATTATAGATAAATTTATTTTGTGTTGTAGAAAAGCATGGATTACGCATTTGAGTGAAAAGGGCACTGTGTTATTTTACCAAAGGGGTATTGTTTTTGCATTTGTTTATAAATGCATTATTTTGGTACTGTAAATTCGGACATAATTTCTGGGTTTATTACTACTGGTGTTTATTCTTTCTTTATTCCCATAAGTATGCAGTGCAGGTGCACAGGTCCCAGATGAGCAAGACCACCAGCATGTACTTGTCCAAAATTTGGGTATGGTGTGCACTGCTCTGTGCATATCTGTTCCTCTGTTGTGGGTTTGTTTTTTAATTCAGCATCCTGCTTTGTTTTACTTTCCAAACATGATCTTTTGAGATTCTTGATTGCATTTCAAAGAGCTTTCCTTATTTATTTTGTGTATTAGACTGTGCAGGAAATATTCTAGAAGGCATTAATGGTTTGCATTCAAAATGATGTGTTTTGTCCAAATTATTTTTTGTCTTTATTATGGAGATGAATTTATCTCTTTATTT